GAGCTGGCAGGCTGCCATGCCGTCGTCTGTGTCCAAGCGAGGGTGGGGCTATTGAATGATGCGCTTCGTTGGTAGCGGCGGCTGGTTGTCAGGTCTGGCCGCTCCCTCAGCCCCCTGATCTGCCCGGCGAGGCGCGCCGGAATGTTCCGGCCACGGTTGGCTCACGTCGCTAGGTGGCCCTGGCTGGATCGGTTGCTCACTTAAGGCGGAGGTGTGTGTTTGGAACTTGCTTTCGGATAAAATGTCTCCAGGGATTCCCGATGTGTCTCATGACACAGGGGCTTGTTCTGCCATGGATGCTCTCTGTTTTATGGTCGGTGCTGAGTGTAAAAGGGCTTCAGGACAACGCTACAGACTTAGCCGTCGCAATCCTACCACAAACATTTGACTTAAGAATACAGAGAAAAGAGGCTCATGCGTCGGTCCCGAACCCCAGCTCCAGCCCGCGGAGTGAATGATCTCCATGCCCTCCGAGTCCCAGCCCAGCCCGCGGAGTGAATGATCTCCACAGGGTCCGAGGCCCAGCCCAGCCCGCGGAATGGTGAACGATCTCCGCACGGTCCGAGGTCCAGCCCCAGGCACAGCGGGGTGAATGATCTCCACACGGTCCGAGGCACAGCCCCGGCACGCGGAGTGAATGATCTCCGAACCGTCCGAGGCCCGGGCCAGCGCCCTGTCAGTATAGCTTTCGGCCCCACACCGCACAGTGTGCGTCCATCATCCACGTGGTGACGGGCGCACACTGCCAGCGGCGGGGCGGTGGACAGGGGGCGGGGCAGCTGCTGCCGGGTGGACGCCCGCCCCCATCCTCGGGCCTGGACAATTTGTCCGCCCCTGGCCGCCGCTGGCGGCCTGCGTCTGATGCGCCACGTTCGGAGGACAAATGGTTCCCGCACGCTGCGCCGCCGGCGACGGCCGAGCCGCGCAGATGGATGGCTCCCAGACGGACGCAACGAGCGGAATTGTCGCGGGGTCGGCGCCTGTCGCGACCCGGCTCAGTGAGGGACCGGCGCGAGGACAAGCGAGTGCCGCGTGGACGGGCCCTAGGCGTTCGGTGGAAAGGGGCGGCTCGGCTAGGTCATTCCGGGCCTCTTCAACGGCTAGCACGTGGCAAGTTCACATGTTTCTGAGCTGCGACTCAGAAATACGATTCCGCCACCTGCCGGGGCTGCCAGGTTCAGCATTGGCAAAAACAACCCCTCGGCGCCTGGCGACTGGTGAGAACCGCTTACATTATCGGGCGGTCAGGGGGTCACGGAAGGCCGGCCACTCTGGATCGCGTCACTCGAGGCCAGGCCAGCACCGGCAGGGGCTCCGACGCCAGCACCGAGCGGTTTGGCCATCCACGCGACTCTCCAGCTCAGCCGTTTCCAATGTCCCAAGCGGCCTCCTCGCTTCCGTGTCCCCAAGCGGCCTCCTCGCTTCCGTGTCCCCAAGCGGTCTACTCTCTTAAACACCCACCCGGAAAGGCCCATTGCGGAGGGATGGCGGACTCCCGCCGACTGAGGCTGGGCTGACGGACAGATAATTGAGGGCCACCAAACCCACCCGCGCGCCACCGACGGGCGCCTCAGGCCCAAAAACGCTCTGCAGAGACAAGCATATGCAGATGAGCTGCTCTGCGGCTCCGAGACGCTTCCGTAAAGACCCCGTCGCATCGTCAGCACGTATCAGGTCGCGGGCTGCCGCGGGCCGCCGCGGCGCTCCGTCCGGGCCGTCATCCGGCGTCGCAAGGTCGTGACCAGGGCGTCATCGGGGCGTCATCAGGCGCTGCGGAGGCGGACGACCGCGACGGCTCCGGGCCCCCATCAATCATCGTTGTTGGTGGTCGCGCGGGCCCACAGGCCAGCGGTTTTGACGGTGGCCACCAATTTGGAAGCCGTTTTGGAGCGGTTTGCCACGGGCCCTGGCGCCGTGATGACAGGGTGCGCGTCCGCCAGAGTCAATTGCTCGGCAAAAAACACGCGGCTCTGGTTAGAGCGGTGCTTAACGGCCAGATGGCACGGAATGCGGCGGGCCCTGGGTGTTGGACGTGTTTTTGTTTTGCACGGTTTACAGAGTCGGGAGGGAGATGTATGATGGCTCGGAGCATGCCGGCCACCGAAGCGGCCCGGAGTCGATCACTCAACACGCTGTCGTAAAGTAATGAAATCAAATATGTGAGCGATCCAGTACTGAGGAGGGAACTTATAATGGAGGGTCATCATGATATCAGAGTCCAGAATGTGCCGCAGTATGGGAATTGAGGCAAGCTTCGGCAGGGCCCGTCAGCTACACATTCGAGTCATTCCACAGATTGAAATGCCACACGCCACGAGCATTGACTAGTAGGCGTGGGAAAGGGCTATACATGTATAGACAGCTAGTTCATTTTTCATGTAAGCTTAACTGTGGTCGATAGTATGCGTTAGAACATATTGAGCTTAAAAAGATTCGGATCACAACTTCTTTTGGGAATGCGTCTGATGCGTGTTTTTTGACCACACTTTCTTAGCATAGCCGACAACATATCGCCCAAATAGCAGATTGTTTCACTCTTTAGGTGGACTTGGATCGTCTCTGTGAATGCTGGATATTGAAACTGAACTTTGCTGACCGCGAAACTGCTCCATCCAGCCTCCGTTTACCCTACTTGTTCACTTCTCATATGCACAAAAGGACCGCCGCTTGGCAAGTTGCCATCAAATTCGCGATCTTGGTGTTGCTCCTAGACAATGGAATCCCCTTCCTACATCACATGGGCGTGACAGCCTCAACAGCAAACAGGACACTGGGCCTTCTCGTGCGAAGCGTGCAGGTACCATCACGGTCTCATGGTCTTAATCATAAGGTCATGCTGTGTGCCTGCAATGCACGTGAGATTATGGATTGAGCACGATAGGTAGCATCACTTTAAGCGGCGCCCGCCGTCTCACAACTCGCCCGCTCAAACGACTACAGCTGTCGATTCTGATGCCGCTGTTTTCTACCGCTCAGTTCCGGTGTCCTATACTGGATAACAAGCATCTTCCGGCTTATTTACAACATCACTAAGGCACGCTTTGCTCAGTCCGATATGCGCTTGTACGGCGTGTACCACCTGAGGCTTGACTGTGGTCGTCAAACACCACGGTTCGGTCGCGCTGCACTCTCCCGCGCTCTCGGTGTACCGGACTCGCTCGCTGCACCCCTCCCGGCGCTCTCGGCGTGCCGGACTTGATCGCTGCACCCCTCCCGGCGCTCTCGGCGTACCGGACTTGCTCGCTGCACCCTCCCGGCGCTCTCGGCGTACCGGACTTGATCGCTGCACCCTCCGGCGCTCCCGGCGTACCGGACTTGATCGCTGCACCCTCCCCGCGCTCTCGGCGTAACGGACTCGCTCGCTGCACCCTCCCGGCGTTCTCGGCGTACCGGACTTGCTCGCTGCAACCTCCCGGCGCTCTCGGCGTGCCGGACTTGATCGCTGCACCCTCCCGGCGCTCTCGGCGTACCGGACTTGCTCGCTGCACCTTCCCGGCGCTCTCGGCGTACCTGACTTGCTCGCTGCACTCTGCTCGCTGCAACCTCCCGGCGCTCTCGGCGTGCCGGACTTGATCGCTGCAACCCTCCCGGCGCTCTCGGCGTGCCGGACTTTCTCGCTGCACCCTCCCGGCGCTCTCGGCGTACCGGACTTGATCGCTGCACCCCTCCCGGCGCTCCCGGCGTGCCGGACTTGATCGCTGCACCCTCCCCGCGCTCTCGGCGTACCTGACTTGCTCGCTGCACCTTCCCGGCGCTCTCGGCGTGCCGGACTTTGTCGCTGCAACCTCCCGGCGCTCTCGGCGTGCCGGACTTGCTCGCTACACCCTTCCGACACTCTCAGCGTACCGGACTTTCTCGCTGCACCTTCCCGGCGCTCTCGGCGTACCTGACTTGCTCGCTTGCACTCTCCCGGCGCTCTCGGCGTGCCGGACTTTCTCGCTGCACCCTCCCGGCGCTCTCGGCGTACCGGACTTGCTCGCTGCACCCTTCCGACACCCTCAGCGTACCGGACTTTCTCGCTGCACCCTCCCGGCGCTCTCGGCCGTACCTGACTTGCTCGCTGCACCTTCCCGGCGCTCTCGGCGTGCCGGACTTTGTCGCTGCACCCCCCTGACGCTCTCGGCGTACCGGACTTGCTCGCTGCACCCTCCCGGCGCTCTCAGCGTACCGGACTTTCTCCGTGAACCATTTGCAAGAGAAGACGTTTGAAAATGGCTTGACGCACCCCTGCCCATTGTCAGCAATCATTAACATCCGCATTCTCTATCGAATGAAATTTTCTAGGCAGCACAATCTTTCGGATTCTATTTCGTCGCTACCTAGAGAGCGCTCCTTTGATGACCGCTGTGTCCGAGTGCGTGTTGTGTATGTGTGATTACATATTGAGCGCATCGCGTATTTATCATAGGCTTTGGGAGAGATGCAGACGAGGTATTAGTGTAAATTATGACAAAATTGTTCCGGTTGTCGTCCTCGTCTGGTGTGTTGGTGTGCTCCGAACATATGGCACATGTTAACATATTTCATCCGTGCATTTCCCGTTTGTAAAACTAGAAGGTGACTAATTGGCTCATTACCTGTGAAATAATCATGCCATGAATGAACAAATCAACAAACACAGTTGCTTTGTTGCCTTGTTTGAATTATCCGAAAACACGAATTAATTGTGTATAAGCACTTATCCATTGCTTCTCTGACCAAATTGTCGCATTTCGATGCATGTTTTCACGCAAAGGCGAGTGAGACAACGGGGCGAGAAACTTTAACTTTACGGCTGTTTAGTGAAGTCAAGAGTTACCCATATGGTGGCGCATGAAAAGAGTCGACTGCAAAGGGCGCGGTACTCAGGCCTCTTCTGAAATTTTTACGCTCCTCCTCTTATGGAACTAAATCGGAAGCGATGACACGTCGTGTATCAAGGTAGCTCTGCACACAATTCTATCTGTCACTGCGTGTCACATCGGTTGGTCACGACCCTTTAAATCCCCTCCTTTTTCCAGGAACCTCGGGATGCAGGGCCTGGACGTCTGGAGAAACCCGCAGATCTACATGGTGGGGACGTCCCCCCTGTGTGGCCAGATACGGGGCCTCAGTCCGGGACAGAGGAAGCTGTGCCAGCTCCGTCAGGTCAGTAGATACAGGGCCTCAGTCCGGAGCAGAGGAAGCTGTGCCAGTTCCGTCAGGTCAGTCAGGTCGACTCGCCGACCGCCAGGGGTCGTCGAGCTCGGTCCCCACTTGCAGGGATCATTCATCAGTGGGCTGGTTGCCAGCCCCCACAAGGCAGAGGGCGCACGTACAAGACTTGGTGCAGATGACGTGCGTCAGCTGCTGTAGTTGAACGAGATGGTGCATCGCCGAATCACCGCGTATTGGCGCAGTATCGTGTGGTCCCCGCCTCTCCGGGAGTGATGACGGCCGCGATGCAGGCCGGTGCTTTTGTATTTCGCTGGACCAATCACGGCAGCTTGGGCGCGTTCTTCAAAGTCAAACGCTGTCCGCTGCGGCAATATACTGTGACGTCACAGGCGTCAGACGCCCGGATTGCGTCAGACGTGCTTACGCACGTCCATTCTGGTTGGCTACAAGTTTGGGCAAAACAGGAGAGCTAGCTAAATCAGCTCATGGGTGCATATGGAATGCAGTAATGGTGCATTAGTGATTTGATTATTTTTAGATTGCACTGTTATCGGTCGGTTACTTGGTCAAAACATCGCCATCGATCACCCCACCCACACGCGACCTAGAGTTGCTCTGTACAGTTCGTGACCAGTTCCCTGTTGTGCAAGACCATCAACACGTGTTGGCCGTTGCCAGGCGATGTTACGTAAACAACCAGGACTTACCGCACTTCTTTCGCCTCCCGGCTAAGTTAGGTATGGGGTTCACCAGTAATTTCACGGGTAGCTCAGGTATCCATATCACATGTAGAATGGACTTGCACAAAGTAGCAAATCTACCCGATGTCGTAAACTGCAAATGAAGAACGGACCGGAACTGAAAAATAGTCGCACAAGGTGACAGCCACTTGCGTTAGGAGTAGCTGCACTAGGTGCCAGCCCCTTGCGTTAGGAGTAGCTGCGCTAGGTGCCAGCCCCTTGCGTTAGGAGTAGCTGCGCTAGGTGCCAGCCCCTTGCGTTAGGAGTAGCTGCGCCAGGTGCCAGCCCCTTGCGTTAGGAGTAGCTGCGCTAGGTGCCAGCTCCTTGCGGTAATAAGTAACCTAGCGATGTCACCAGTAGGTACAAGCTCGAGGGTCAAGCGCATCCCATATACGCTGCATTCACTCTGCAAGCGCTTCCTCGGATTCCCTATTTCTGATCTCAGCAAACGCGGCACATGCGATTTTTCAGTTGATATCATCCTAACCTTCAACATGACGCTATACTGGACTACCACCCCGCTTGCGAGCATGCCAGCAGGAGTGTGTCTCATTCAGGGGTGGTCAGCCGGCTGCCACTGCTCCTCCTGCCGGAGCCGGGGTGGAGGGTGAGGGCGCTGACTGAGTGTGCCGGGGCGCGCCCCTGCCCGCAGGACCACATGCGGAGCGTGGGCCGCGGCGCCCGGGCAGGCATCGCCGAGTGTCAGCACCAGTTCAGCAGCAGCCGCTGGAACTGCTCCACCGTCGACGACTCGTCCGTCTTCGGGCCCGTCCTGCAGATCCGTGAGTGCTGCTCTGAGTACTACGGACAGAACAGCAGTGTCCGTGTGTGCCTCCTGCACCTTTCCGATTGTATTTGTTTTTGCTGTTCGTTGTTTGCGTCCAAGACTAATGTTGTTTATTATTCAACTGACACCGGTGGAGTGCATCGTGTCAGATCATGCTTAGCAGTGTGCCAGCCTGGCCTATATTTCATTTTTCTGGAACCGTCGTGCGCCCACGGATCGCAGCCACCGGTGGGGTGACCTGATTTGACCTGACCTGATCTCCGGTAGCGCACTGGAGGCAGCGTTGTCACACCCGATCGCAGCCGCCGGTGTGGTGACCTGACCTGACCTAACCTGATCTCCGGCAGCGTTCCGGGAGGCAGCGTTCGCGCACTCGATCGCAGCCGCCGGTGTGGTGACCTGACCTGACCTGATCTCCGGCAGCGCGGAGGCGCGTTCGCGCACTCGATCGCGCCGCCGGTGTGGTACCTGACCTGACCTAACCTGATCTCCGGCAGCGTCCGGGAGGCGCGTTCGCGCACTCGATCGCGGCCGCCGTGTGGTGACCTGACCTAATGACCTGATCTCCGGCAAGGTCCGGAGGCGGCGTTCGCGCACTCGATCGCGGCCGCCGGTGTGGTGACCTGACCTGACTGACCTGATCTCCGGCAGCGTCCCGGGAGGCGGCGTTCGCGCACTCGATCGCAGCCGCCGGTGTGGTGATGTCGGTGTCACGCGCCTGTCGGGATGGCCAGCTGGCCTCCTGCGGCTGCTCCCGGTCAGCACGACCGGCTGACCTTGACCCCGACTGGACCTGGGGCGGCTGCGGCGACAACATCCGATACGGATACAGGTCAGTCCGCGCTGTGCACTCGTCCCATCTGAATGGTTGCACTCGCGCCGATGTCACAGGGACATGGCGGAAAGGGATGACACCGCTGCGGCAGACAGATTTGAGGGTTTGAGCTCAGGGGACAGCTTGATGCGCCACAAGCTGCGGAGACGCCTTTCTTGCCTTTAACCACGCTCGTCTGCTGGCCACGTTTGTTCAGTTGTGAAAAAGGCTGAATAGATCTGCATCACAAGGCGTACTAAGCAAAACAAGCTGGCTGTCAAAAAAACCAGCGGGGATGATTTCTGTTTCGACCTCACTCGAACGTGATTAATGAAAACGATGGCTGTTTTCATGTCGGCATCATACTGACGTCGTGATGACATTTACAATGATGATGTCGGGACGACGATGACAATGCACATGTAAAGCACAGACGAAGCAGCAGATAAAGCACAGATTAGTCAGTATGAAGCTGGTGTGGTTGAAATGGGGTATAGGTGACGTGTAAGTGCATTGTCCCTCTCCATCATTGTCCCTCTTCTGTGAAAACTGCGGATGTGCTAACACACAAAATGGACATCAGCTGTAAGGGTGCAATCTGCTTACGCCTGGCTGCGACGCAGTTTACTGTATGATGGCTTGACGTGGCGTTTTATTAGTGGATTATACCCCTAAGGACGTGGTCGCATGCATTGCGCATATTTTTCCCTTGTCTCTGTCGTTTCGTTGGTGCTGGTAATGATGGTGGTGGCGGTGATTTATGCCCTTGTGGTTCGCTGACGGTGCCATCATCAGTGCTTGTCACTATTATGTTACACAACAAAGGAGATAAAAAGAGCAGCCGACGGAAGACCGAATGACAAGCAAAACAACCCAGCAGCAAACAAAGGACTAACAGCGAGCGCACGAAACCAATCTTCTCTCCACTGCAAATGCTCAATAAGGCATCGGCTGCAGTGGGAAATGACCCTAATCTGTTATTTCTGACGTATGAATGAAATGCTGTTTGTTGTAGATTCGCCACCAACTTCGTGGATATTCGGGAGAGGGAGCGGAGATACAAGAGGGGCTCCGTGAAGCATGGCAGATCGCTGATGAACCTGCACAATAACGAAGCAGGACGCCGGGTGAGAAGCAGCCCTCTGTCGACTTCAGTCCAGCGTAGTCGTTTCCGGGTCCAACTCACAGCGCATGGGTTTCATTTTGATGCTACCTTTGCGCAACACAGCGCATTTTCGAAGTCGTTTCCGACTCGAAGATATGTTTCACTTTCGGAATCGGTTTCGGTGTGATTCCACAGGTAACACTTTATGAAATAAATCGTTCTATCTGCTTTAAAGAAGTCGATATAGTACAGGTTCTCGGAAAACAAGATAGTCATGAATCTAATGACCCCTGTGTCGCACGACGCCAGAGTAAAAAAACAAAGTATGTCGGAGAAAAGAAGCGATTTTGTTTGCGCGATAGAGCACGTTATCACACAAATTCCTGCCTGAGTCGACTCACCCAATACTCGTACCTTTTTGGTAAGGTCAACTCTGACTCACACTCAAACATCTCCAAAGAAGCCTCACCCCGCCCAGACTCAGCACACATTTGGTTGGTTCCAAAGTCGGGTCCGAATCCATCCGGAGTCAAGCACAAATATAGAGCTGGAGTAGCTGTCAGTGGTTGAATATGGAGCTGGAGTAGCTGTCAGTGGTTAAATATGGAGCTGGAGTAGCTGTCAGTGGTTAAATATGGAGTTGGAGTAGCTGTCAGTGGTCAAATATGGAGCTGGAGTAGCTGTCAGTGGTTAAATATGTAGCTGGAGTAGCTGTCGGTGGTTAAATACTGAGTTCCGCACCTATTCATACAGTTTCATTTCTTTAAATGAACTCGCATCGAATTGAACCAAGATGTCATTCTTTTTCCAGCGAAGCATTTTTTTGTGTAACATTTGTACAGCACAAAACTGAGGGGGTGTAGCTCGGCCGGGTGCACTCAGTGACTCTAATATAGCCGGCCAATGGATCACTAGTCCCACAACTCCAGCACATCTCTATTTGAGCGTCGTACAGCTGATGTAGCCCTGTTTGGCCTGCTTCGTCCAGATCACGGGGCCCCATCAGAATGTCTGCTAGGTAAAGATCTGGTCGTTATGGAGCAATTATGACGGTAAAGAGCACGGCAAAAGTGCATGCATCGAATGCCAGTTGTTAAGGACATTTTGATCCATCACCGTTCGCAAAACCTGACGGAAACACGACCGCTGCTCTGCACTAGACAGGCGAATCCTACCCGAGACGTTACGCCTGCACTGCACTGGACAGATAAATCCTACCCGACACGCTGACCGCTGCACTGCACTAGACAGGCAAATCCTACCCGAGACGCGACCGCTGCACTGCACTAGACAGGCGAATACTACCCGAGACGTCACGCCTGCACTGCACTGGACAGGCAAATCCTACCCGAGACGCGACCGCTGCACTGCACTAGACAGGCGAATCCTACCCGAGACGTCACGCCTGCACTGCACTGGACAGACAAATCCCACCCGAGACGCGACCACTGCACTGCACTAGACAGGAGAATCCTACCCGAGACGTCACGCCTGCACTGCACTGGACAGGCAAATCCTACCCGAGACACGACCGCTGCACTGCACTGGACAGGCAAATCCTACCCGAGACGTCCCGCCTGCACTGCACTGGACAGACAAATCCTACCCGACACGCGACCGCTGCACTGCACTAGACAGGCGAATCCTACCCGAGACGTCCCGCCTGCACTGCACTGGACAGGCAAATCCTACCCGAGACACGACCGCTGCACTGCACTGGACAGGCAAATCCTACCCGAGATGTCACGCCTGCACTGCACTGGACAGGCAAATCCTACCCGAGACGCGACCGCTGCACTGCACTGGACAGGCAAATCCTACCCGAGCTGCCACACCTGCACTGCGCTGGACAGGCTAGTACGCTCATGGCTCACCACCTGGCGACGAGGTTTTTATCGCTGGAGAACGCCTGGAGGTGTTTGTGGAGTTGTGGTGACAAGCCACGTCCAGTATCTGTCCAGGCATTATCAGCAATCCGATACAACCATTGAGAGAGCGCTCTAGGGGACACACCAGCCCCACCTCCGACACCTCTTTTGCCGACGGCGATCGTAGCGCCGCCTGTCGCACCGCCGTCCTGCACGCTCGCCGTCCTCCAGTCACCGCCTGTCCGCTTCACTCCAGTCAGCTGACACTGCCGAGACGATGCAACGGCTCAATTAGGGGAGCCGGCCGTCGAGAGGCGAGGACTTGGTATCACCTTTTTGCCCTTTTCTCCAGTGATTTGCATTCTGTGCAGTGTTGTGCTGCGCACTTTTTGTCGGCAGTTGTACGACGCCTAACTGTGTGGAGCGGAGAGCAGGCGGTTCGCACGCTCACAGTCGGCCATGCCTCGCCAACGGCGGTCCGCCAGCGGGTGACCAACTGCAGGCAGGGGTGCGGGAACTAATAGCCTGGGGGGATGAGTCCCTCAACTTGCTGAAAACGTAACGCTGGCCCTATGGGCTTTGACTGGAAAGAGGTTCCCAAAAATATTGTACCGTCCTCCTTCTCCCCCCTTCCCTCCCCCAACTTGGGATAACTACCGGTTCTACCGCTACGGGTAATTTTAATCTATCCATTCTTACAAATTTGTGATGTTCACAACTCCGTATAATACTGTGTGCCTGGTATTTTACGTGTTTTTTCCTTAGTGCTTTTCTCCCTTGTTTGTCGTGCTGTCCCGGAAAACTGCGATCGCATGGAGGACACCAAATAAGTGAACATGAATATGTCAGTATTCCTGGCTGCACCGCCGCATTTTATTTTGAAAACGAAATAAACCGTGCCTCGTGCCAGGCGGTGCATTAGTCACACACTGCCTGATTATTTCTGCACTACTGGAAACACCACGTGCGTTGCTGCCTGGTGTTCCTCTGAATACGTGAGCAGCGCAATCCCACCAGGCGAATATCCTCGCACCATTAAGCCTGTGTCTTTTTCCTCCAGTCTCGAATGCTTCATATGGTTTGACTCAAGTGATGACTTGCGTACTGCCGAACGTATGGGCTTTTGAGCACTGTTCGCGCCATTGTGGTGCCAACTCGTGCCCACGAAACGGACGGCACTCAAGTTCTCGTGCGCAGCTGAAGGTTCTCCGCCTCGTAACTGCTGTTTACAGAGCAACGTGGGGCCAGCACTTCCATTTCGTATTAATCGTGGCTATGCATGTGAAGCCAGCTAGACGTTAAACTTTATGAAATGGGCTTTATTAGCGCTGGCTTAGCTGGCGAATTTCGCCGTGCCCTTTCGCAATTCGTGTACTGTGTCGTGCCCGCAGGCGGTCATCGACCTGACGAAGGTCAACTGCAAGTGCCACGGTGTGTCGGGCTCCTGCTCCACCGTGACCTGCTGGCAGCGGCTGCCGGCCTTCAGAGAAGTCGGTGAGTGGGAGACGTGAGAGAGTGCTGAGAGTACGAGAAGTATAAGTCGGTGAGAAGGTGAGAGGCCTGCCTCCCTCCTCTAGAGACGTCGGCGAGTGTAAGTCATCTGCCTGCCTTCGGGGAAGTCGTCGAGTATGAGATGCCCCGGAAAAGGACTACCAGCTTCAAAAAAACTTCTTGTTGCCAAACCAAATCTCCCATCTGTATGATTTTAAGGAGCTGATTGGGTGTGATACATTCAATGCTGCTTTCCTTAGAGGACTACAAAAGAAACAATTTACAAATTAAACCAAGCAGGTTCGAGTCGGGATCGGAGTTGACACAAAGCTGCTGCGCTACTCGTAGTGAGAGTGAGTATCTAATTCACGCGCTGTAAGTCAGATTCGTTATCGATTCTGTCGAAACGGGATCAAACGCAGGCATGCCAGTCAGATGCAAGCCGCATTTGTTACAAAAATACGTGTGTGGTAAGTCAGCGGTCTTCTCTAATCGGTTCGTTAGGCTTGTTGCCTTTCATGATGTTCTCCTGATATCTGACTTGATGGCAAGCATGGACATGGCTGAACTTTCAGCTGGGGGCAAGCTGACAAGGAGTTACGGCGGGTCGCTCCCACACCAGGGTGCGCAAAGCTCCTTTGATACTGTCGACAAATCGGCATGTTCGGCCGCCAGGTGGCCCCCGGTGCATCGATTTTATTGTCTGCGTTCATGTCAGCAGGTAATACGCGCGCGCAGAATTCAGTGCTGCATGGTCCTCGACCAGCGTGCACGGCTGTGCCAATGCAAAGGCCGTGTACCGTGCCGCCTGGAGACACGGCTGCACCCATTCAACAGATGTGTACCATGTCATCCGGTGGGTGCACCGATTTCACGGTTGCGTCGCGCGCCGCCAGGTGACACGCTGAAGGACAAGTACGACGGAGCGACGGAGGTCAAGGTCACTCGCCGCGGCCGGCTGCGCGTCAGAAACCGCCGGTACAGGAGGCCGACCGCCAACGACCTGGTCTACATCCAGGAGAGTCCGGACTACTGCAGGAGGAACGACACGCTCGGCTCGTCTGGTCAGTGGTGGCAATGCATTAGAAATGCAACTTTACATGCAGTTTGCATCTTGAACTGCTGCTGTTGCTTTTTATTGCGTGATTTTTGTATATTTGGCCGACGTAATGGCTTTTGGATCAAAGCTAACCAGTTATCGATGTTAGTGTTACCTAACCGGTCTTGCGATTCGCCGTTCCGCAGGAACAACCGGTCGCGCGTGCGAGCGAACTTCAAAGGGCACCGACGGCTGCGGACTGCTCTGTTGTGGCCGGGGCTACAACACCCAGCGCATTACCGTCAATGAACGCTGCCAGTGCAAATTCGTTTGGTGCTGTAAGGTTCAGTGCCAAAGCTGTCTCCGACAAAAGACGGTGCACACGTGCAAGTGACCGCTAACGACACCTTTCGGACGAAAGCGAACTGTGTAAAGGTGGCGCTAGGTGTCCGGGTACCCGACCGCGGCCGGCCCTCGACCGGCTCAGTCGTCCCGAGCGCGGGACACGTGACTGTTGTCACGTGACTGTTGTCGCTAGTCGGTCCTCTGCCAGCGTGCCGAGGAAGACGGGCACGGCCTAAAAGCTCCGAAGAGCTCGATGGTCCGGCGAGCTGCTGGATACAACGACTGGACGGAATGCGATGCCGTCGAAAGTGTGCCCTGGTGCCGGATACAGTGGCTGGACGGGGTACGATCCCGTCGCGAGTGCGCCCTGATGCCGGATACAGTGATCGAGCAGTGGCCAGTGGTTTTGAGAACATGCTTCGATGCTAGACTCTCATTGAGCGAAATCCGATCTTTTCGGAACTGTGTACCGCTGCGAGATACAAAAGCGGAGTGAGATCTTGTGGTTCTGATAGCGTGCTCCGTAGTGAATCTGTGTAATAACTGGGCAGGAGCCAATAGGTTTGAGAGTGTGTTAGATCCGTTGGCTGTCCCATGACCATTGGCACTCGCTCTCACCCTGTTCAGTGTAAGGATAATCGTTCTTTAAGCATATCGCCAATCGGTTGGTATCTGCACATGAGCAGATTCATGAACGCTTCATTTGAAGCGTGACGTCGAACGCAGTTATGAATTATCGGCAAGCTGCTGAAAGTCAACGAGACGCATTCCTGCGGTCGGTCATTCACATAAAACACTACGACATTGCCGTGACTTTTATGTATTTGCATGCAGAATCAAATAAATATTCCATGGGTGCCGCGAGCATCACGTGGCTATGCCCAAACGTGCCAGGAATACTTGACGTGGTAGGTGTGACCTCCAAAATCGCGGATCTAGAAGCTTCTGGAAAGGACCGCGCACACCTATGCATGCTGATCGTTCGCGCTACATAGCTCGAAAGCACAGCCACTAGCCAGGTTGTGCGTACACAAGCCGAGGCTGCGGACAAAAGTCTTAGTAACACTGGAAATGTGCGCTGCCAGTGGGTCATACTCCGGCGGGTGATTCTGCGAACTACTGGACCGTTACGGGAACTTGTTTGCACAAACGCAGTAGACTGCCAGCTGGCCCGAGCGGGGCCAGCCGCAAGCTCTCAGATCACGCTCTCTTATCGCGCTTACGTCGAGAAAAACTAAAATTAAGCGGTTGTTTTTCGAACAAATATATTCATCAGCCATCTTCTCTGGGAAATTTCGCTACGTCTAAGATGGCATCATCTGGAATAAAGCCACATCGATTTCGTCATCACTTCACCCACGCTCTCCAAGACATTCCACGTATCCAGTCAGCCAGGGATGACGTCATCCACATTTAGAAGGTAAGACGTCACCATGAGCCGGCTTAAAACCGTCCGAGGCCAGTTCAGGGGACTTGCGCGGCGTCCCCAGCACAGATGCTTCCAACATGACCATCTGCGTTCATTGGACCATCTGACCAGTGGAAGCCATCACATCCTTAACACTTATCTTGCGGTTAAGTATTGCAGCACATTGTAGTTTTATCCCTGTACCCGGCGCAAAAGCACGATAGCTGAAAAAGTTATATTTCATTTCCAATTAAATTGTCGAGAACTTTTCCTGGGGCTTCAGAACAACGCCAACATGTTCGGCCGCCTCTCATCTAGAGCGGAGGCGGCCAGTCGGGCCGGAGCCGGCGGCCGGGCCCGACGCCGCTGGCGGCCGGCCGCGCCGGCGCGTCGGCTCGCTCCCGCCGGCCAGAAATAGCCACCGCTGTCGGCACATGACCGCCGCCACAAAGCGCAGGTCAGAGCACGGCCGGCCGACGCGGCGGACGACACGCTCCGGCGGGGTGAGTACGGCGCGCCGGGCCCGGCGTACCGCGGCCGCGCTCCCGGGGCGGGACGGCGCGGGCGGGACAGGGAGGGGCGTGCCGGGACTCGGGACGGGGTTAGATCAGGGCGGGGTCACGCGGTGTGGCGGGACTGCCAGTAGACGTTACAGACGTTGCTGGTCGTCGGTCTCGTGCTGTTGTCGCTAAGAGACGACTTCGGAGTTGCGTAAACGTCACCCGTGGGCCACAACAAGTAGTACAAGAGAATAAAGCCGGGCCTGATATCCGATCCTTGGCATGCACCCACGGGACAAAGAGAGACCGCAGTCGGGGCAACTGTGAGATGCTTGTGTGAACGTCATGCTATCACCACCGCTAAACTTCAAACTGTGTGTACGAAGTACTCGGTTAAGCAGCCCAAATCGCGTTAATGTGTTGTGTTCTTCGGTGGATAAGAACACGGCTAAGGTGGGCCAGTAGCTTGTCTTTAGATTACACAGTGCCCGAGTAGGGCTGTGTATAACATGAGTATACACAAACGTTGATTAATGGACCCTCTTGCTGAATGTCAGATGAACTCGTCTCGAGCTGGGGCCAACATGGCGCCAGAACATGAAGAGAAACCTCCCGCTTCAGACATGAAGGACCAGGAACAGGACAGGTAGGTGAAAAATGACGCATAGTAAAACCAGCGTAAGTTGTGGCACGTGTGCTGGACCAGGTACTGAGATGGTGTGATGAGAACGCTTCAGCTTGCCCCTGCCGTACCTAGTAGCTGTGCAGCACACGCTGCAATAGTGTGTAATATGTGCTGCAAATTCTCAAACGTTTCTTGACGCTTGCAGGCAGAGGCTCTGGATCGCCACAACAGAACGGCGATACCTAGAAGCGCTGATCGACGAAGCCAGTCAGCAGCTGGCGCTCAGGGACAGCTTTATTCAGGAGCAGGAGGAAAGCTTGCATCAGGTAAATGATTTGGCTCTAAAACAAGGTCCAAACATTTTGATTAGATAGATTCTGGGATCCGAGCACACGTTAATAAATACCTGTGTGGGCCCTGATCGCGCCATCCGATCGTGGAATTCTAGCTCACAGACAGAATTGTGGCGAATGTTAAAGGCCGTACTCCTCTAGGCGCTCCGTTCTACGCGCGAACGCCACCCAACCCCTAGCGCGGCCGCTGCCATCGGCCGCGGGCCATCCCAATCACCGGCAAATAGCGAGCGCTCGGGGCGATTCGAACCCTCCCCGCCGTGGATGGGCTAATCAGGAGACGCGCGGTCTAAGCTCTTATCAGCTGGATCACCGGGACAGACGGTGTACCGGGCGAGTTAGATCATGTAGTTGCGCGTGTTAGCGTTATGAAATAGCGAAGGGTAGGCAAGCGACATCACATTTCTCACCGAGCATGTGCGAAATTCGAACAAAGACTTAAGAATCGCGGTCCTTTAACAGGATTCGTTGCTTGCCCACGTGTCCATGATGCATGGTTACGCAACGTTAACATATGAGGCGCGGATGGCAGACGTTTTTTCTGGTCTTCAATCCCTTCAGTTTAAAATGAGGCGTAAAACAGTGGCAAGGCGATTCCGTACGTACTGGAACAGCTACCAAAACAGACCGGCGCCATCTGCCAGCCGCTCTTGCGCCATAGCTCCTCTTTGTGACGGAGGTACGAGTCGCGGATTTGGCCGGCCACTGTTTTTCCCGAAGCGGCCATTTTTCCGTCCGCCCTACGCTCGCCCGATCGCGGCAAGCCCGCCTGAGTCGGCCGCCGCGTGTTTGAATTGGCCCCCGTTCCAAGTGGCGACGGCTGGGACCGGAGTGAGAGGAGTGGTGACGGCTGTGTTAGGCCGGAGTGTAAAGAGTGGCCACCGTCGGCGGCCACCGGGACCAGACCGGCAGCGGCCGGCCTTGGCAGCGGCGAGCATCGGCGTCTGCCTGGCACCGGTCGCGATGGCCAGGTATTTGGCGGCGGTCGCCGTTAAATACCCCGGTCCGCAGGGACGCGCGGCGGTCAGCCGTCGCTTCCTCGAGGCATCCTTTACACCGCTTCATCGCGTTCATCCCCGCTGGGTCTCGTCCACGGACTGACCGACTTAGTGGAGTTTGCCGCTGACGATGATCTCGCTTTTCAGAAGCACTGTCGGCAGAGTACGGACAGTGACCTCCCGGAGCTCTGCGACCACGTGCTGTCAGCCTCTGAATTTCTCAGCGCCACGTTCGACGCAGTAGTGCGTCGGTGCCAGACGTTAACGTGCGAGAGCGTCACGCCGACGGCCGGGCGCCGCACGCGGCAGGCGCCGGACGGCGGGCTCTGCGCGGCCCCGGCTGCTGCGCCGCTCGGATCCTCTCCAACGGCGCAGCGCGGAAGAGACGGCGACCGCCAGCCGGCGGGCGTCGCCGTGCCAGCGGCGTCACGCGGCGCCGTATCACGAGACGGGGCGCCGCTGGGGCGCCGGTGCGACGTCGCGTCGACGCCGACGATGCAGACGACGCCGACGCAGACGGTAGATGACCCACTGCCGGCGGAGCTGGAGGCGTGTCTGCAGCAGAACGCGCTGCTGGCGGACCGGTGCGAGGAGCAGGCGGACCTGCTGCGCGAGCAGACCGAACTAATGCACAGGCTGCATAGCCAGCTGAGCCGTAGCGCCACCGAGAACGAGCGCGTGCAGCGTCAGCTGCGGCTGGTGAACGCGCTGTTCGAGCAGCTGCAGCGGCAGGAGGCCGAGGGAGAGGCGGCACTCGAGGCTAGCCGCCGCGCCGAGTCGAGCGCCGCGGAGCCGTCCGAGCCGGGCGTGCCGGACGCCGACCAGCCCAACGGCCTCGTGGAGCGCGTGGACACGCCGCACGGCCGGCGCCTCGTCATCCACGTCAGCAAGACGTACCTGCGCCTGCGCGACCTCATCCTGGAGAAGCGCGCCCTCCTCAGCGAGATCGACAAGCTGAAGGGCTTCAACGTGCAGCTGGAGCGTCGCCTGAATCGGCAGGAGCAGCGGCTGTCGAGCGTGGCGGCCGAGCTGCACAGCACCTGGGGCCTCGTGACCAAGCTCAAGATCCAGCACGCCCAGCTGCACACGACCGAGTCCGTGCTGCGCTACGAGCTGCGCGAGAAGCGCCGCCTGCTGAACCGGCTGCGCGACGAGCTGGAGGGCTCGCGCCAGCGCTCGGCGCTCGCCAGCCGGCTCAACGCCGAGTCGGAGCTCGAGTGGCGCGCGCTGCGCCGCGAGCTCGACCAGCGCAAGCGCGAGCTGGTGCGCCAGCCTCACGTGGAGGAGGAGGAGCCGCCAGTGCAGGCGAGCGACGTGGAGAGGGACGGTGTGGCGGGCGAGCACACCATTGGCAGCGTCTCGCCGGAGCCCGAGCACGAGGATACACCGGACTCATCGGAGCTGCCGGAGTCGCCGGGCTCTGTGGATTCGTCCGAGCTGCCGGATACGGCGGAGACGCGTGACTCGAGTGGGCCGCGCCCGGCCGGCCGCCTGCGCACCCTCGAGCACCAATGTCAGGAGCTGTACACGCGGCTGGTATCGACCACGGCACGCCAGGTGGCGCTGAGCTCGCGGCTGGCCGAGCTGCACACGCTGCACGGCACCAGCGAGACGGCCTCGCTGGCCAGCACTAGCACCGACACGGCCTACGCCAGCAGCGAGCCGCAGCAGACGCCGTCCGAGGCTGAGGCCGACGAGCTGCCGTCGGACAGCAGCCGCGACGAGCCGCTGCCGCCACCGCACCACGAGCCCGGCTCCGCCGAAGCGCTGGAGGAGGCGGCGCCACGCGCCCGCGCGGCCGTCGCCGCCGTGGCCTCCGAGCCGGCCGGGCTGGCAGTGGCCGCGCTCTCGGTGGCCGTGGCGGCCGACGGCGGGCCGCGCGCGCTGCCGCCGCTGCCGACCGGCCAGCTGGCCACGGCGTCGGCGCACCTGGCCGGCGCCGACCACGCGCTCGTCGCCTCGGTGGTGACCGTGTCCGAGCCGCCCGCGGCTGCCAGCTCGGACGCGGACGAGCCGAACGAGTCGGCGTCCGACTCAGTGGACGAGGCGGCGGTCGGCTGGCGGCGCGGCTCCGTCGGCCAGCCGGACGGTGCCACCGCCGACCGGCTGACCGACGAGGACCCAGCCGACGTGTCTCGCTCCACCGCCGACCTGCTCGACCAGGTGGCGCTGTTCCTCGGCCGCGCGCGCCGCGGCAGCGCCGGCGTCGGCGGCGGTGGCGGCAGCGCCGGCGCCGGCGCCGGTGGCGGCGGCGCGGCCGAGCCGGCGCCCGCGGAGCGCTCCTCCGACTCGGACGAATCGACGGCGCCGGATGAGCCGGACGAGACGGACGAGGCGGACGGGTCGCGGTCCGACGACGTGTCGACTGTCGGGTGCAAGCTCATCAGCCTGCTGCCAAGCCGCATGGTGCACCTGCGTCGCGAGCGCGAACAGCTGGCGCAGCGCATCGCCGAGCTGCAGCGGCAGAATGAGCGCATCGAGCAGAAACTAGCGCGCATGCGCACGGAGCGTAGCGAGCACCGGCGCCGCGGCCGCGAGGATAGCACGGCCAAGCGGCACCTGGAGCAGCGCGTGCAGGAGCTGGAGCTGCGCGTGCAGCAGGAGCAGGCGCTCCGGATGCAGGTCAGGAGCGACGAGTGACGGGCTGCGACGGCGTCGGGATCGAGCCGTGATGATGTTAAGCGGCAGAGACTGGGTGCTGAGGCTACCGGTCCCGGACCCGGGACATGTTTTTTGATGAGGAACACGTGGACGTCACTGTCACTTTAGAGCTGTAGGACGTAAATAACCAATGCAGTTGCCGCACCCTTAAAACTCAATAACTAAGAGCTGTAGAAAATCTGGGGTAATTTGAAAATATCTATGATTGCTGCAGCACCTATAGATGAATGGCGTGGCGGGACATCTGTAAAAATAACGCTCGGAGGTAACCAATTTTCTGTGCGTGTTTCAGCCCAGTCCTTACTTCACGGAGACAGTCGGTATGGCAGACGCTGCCGAGAATTCTGAGACGCCATCAGGCAACAGCGTCCCAGCCGCTTGTAGCGGTGTTGCGAACAATGCCCGCCTCAGCGGGAGCAGCGCCACCGTCGCGGCAAGCAGCACACACGGCTCTGACGCGTCGGAGGCTACGCTCGTGGAGTCGGGCGGTGACGCTGGCCCGTTGGAGCCAGCTGACACCACTCTCACGGACCGTCACCTCGCATCGACGGGAGGCAGCCTCACGGCTCGAAACGAGATAACGGTCACAGAACACAGTGAAGCCTCCGGGCAGGAAGAAGTCGACGTCACAGAGCGAAGGGAAGAAGCTGTCACAGGGCGCAATAACGCCAAGGAACAGGACGTGGCCCCTGTCACAGCGAGGAGCGCGGCCATGGAGCGGAGAGAAGCCACTGACACAGAGCGGAGAGGGGTCACGGCCACAGAACGAAACGACGTCACGGAACAGGCCGTGCCCACTGCTGCAAGGCGGAGCGAAGCAGCGGAGGCGGACAACGACACAGGCAGAAGCCACGACCAGGAACGGAACGAGTCAGACCAGCCTGGGGAGGCCTGGCAGGGGAGCGCCGCGGAGCAGGCCGCGGTGCCGAGCGGCAGCGGCAGCGCCGCGGCCGGGGCGACGGGCAGCGAGCCGGGCGAGTCCGAGTTCGGGCGACTGCAGCGCCACCTGACCGACGCCAGGGCACAGCTGCGCTCCGTCCAGGCGGACTGCAGCACGGCCAGGCGGGAGCTAGAGCGGGTGAGCGACGGGAGGACCAGCGTATGCACGGACGAGTAGACGGGAGAGGAGGGGGAAGACACAGACGAGGGACGGGAGAGAAGGGAGTAGGCACGGATGCGGGACGTGAGAGAAGGGAGCAAACACGGACGATGGACAGGAGAGGAGAGAGTGGACACAGACGACGGACGAGAGAGGAGAGAGTAGACACAGACAGGGGATGGGGCGAAGGGAGCACATATGGATGAGGGACGTGAGAGAAGGAAGCGCACACGGACGAGGGACAGGAGAAAAGAGAGTAGACACAGACGAGGACGGGAGAGAAGCGAGCTAGCACGGACGGAGTACGGGAGAGAATGGGCGCGCGAGACGTGTCGACAGTGTGCGGTAAACGTTTAATGGCGCGGCACGCCGCACTGTGACGTGACGGTCACTGAGGGGCGTGATCTCGTCGCTGCAGATGCATGCCCAAATGAGCAGCGACGACCTCGCCCGGGCTCCACCCGCCAAGGATTTGAAGGAGTCGGCGCACGCTTCTGACGAACTACAGGATTGTCGCCCCGCGGTGTGCTGCGCATGGCACGGTGGACGCATGAACTACGAGGAATTCAAAAGGTGAGACGGTCCAGCCAACATTGTGCTATGAAAACAGGCATTTACATAGGCTTGGGTGATGGTTTTGTTTTGATCAGAACCCTTTTGGCCGTTAATGCCCATTTCATGGCTATGGGATGAAAGGGAATGGATTATAGCTGGGCAAACCTATATGCAATGTGGTCCATTCGCCCAGACAGTCCGCACAGGGATCACTTTACGGGGTACATACTCAGTACTCAGACAGGCCTCCCGCCAGAGGGGAGGGCGTCTTACGCAGATCACTCCCCGCCCTGTCACCTGTATAACACCGCCGTGTCTGCCACGCACGGCCGCTGAGCGCGGGCGTTCTCAGCCGCCACGCGGCGCTGAGAGGGACGGCGCCCTGTTACAGACGTCTGGCCGGCCCGCTCGACCGCCGGCCCGCGTCCGGTACGGCCGGCAAACACCGGACCCGGCGCCTCGCCAGCTGCCAGAGCTGTCAGGTGCGTGTCTCAGCTGGCTGCGGTGCCAGCTCCGTCACGCGCGGTCGGCGCCGCCTGCGGCACGCCCCGTCGTGCTGGCCCGGTCCGCCGCTGCGGGCGTCTTTCTGTCAGAGCTGTCTGTCCGTCAGAGCATTGGCCTCAAATGGGATATGACGCCAGCATTGTGTTTCGTCGTTCGCTTTTTCACATCTGCCGTGGAATTTCATATCTGCGTCACAAGTTCTGTAGCTTCATGTTTTTCAACATATTCTTTAAACTTTGTTGAAGAAGTTTGAATATTTTTACACTAAAGCTTAATCAAAACGTGTCACACTGGGACACGGGTGCCGCGTCCAGCTGGATCAGTGTCACCTGACCGCGCCCAGCCGGGTCAGTGTCACCCGATCGCGCCCAGCCGGGTCAGTGTCACCCGATCGCGCCCAGCCGGGTCAGTGTCACCCGATCACGCCCGGCCTGGTCAGTGTCACCCGATCACGGCCGGCCTGGTCAGTGTCACCCGATCGCGCCCGGCGTGGCCAGTGTCACCCGACCGCGCCCGGCCTGGTCGGTATCACCCGATCACGCCCGGCCTGGTCAGTGTCACCCGATCGCGCCCAGCCGGGTCAGTGTCACCCGATCGCGCCCGGCCGGGTCAGTATCACCCGATCACGCTCGGCCTGGTCAGTGTCACCCGATCGCGCCCGGCGTGGTCAGTGTCACCCGATCGCGCCCGGCCGGGTCGGTATCACCCGATCGCGCCCGGCCTGGTCAGTGTCACCCGATCGCGCCCGGCCGGGTCGGTATCACCCGATCGCGCCCGGCCGGGTCAGTGTCACCCGATCGCGCCCGGCCGGGTCAGTGTCACCTGACCGCGCCCGGCCGGGTCAGTGTCACCTGACCGCCCCCGATCGGGTCGGTGTCACTGTAGCGGTCTGGAGGCTGTGATGCCGTGTTCGCCGGTGAGGCTTCGCCACACCTTGTGCCGCCTGACGCCCTGCTGCCGGCGCCGCCAGGCCCCGTTCCGTTTGCTGACCGCCCGCCGACACGGCTGCCGCTCCTGCGCCGGTGTGTTCTGCAGGGGGTGCGCCTGCGTCGTGATCCACCAGGCGAGGCGGTACGTACGCCGACTGGATCGCTCTGTGCGGCAGTCTGTTCATGTTTCTATAGCACTCTCATTCAGCTAACAACTCACATATCTGTAGAACAGGAAACAGGACAAAGCTCGACAGCGCTGGAAAGAACAGCTGGACGGCTTTGCAGCGCGCACGTATGCTTAGATTGTGAAGTTTGCCTTCACTCACGAAATGTTCCTCGGACTGGTTGTCTCCAGGAAAGTGAGAATCTGCGTGGAATGCTTCTACAAGCTCACTCAGCCGTCACAGTCTTCGGAAAAGGACCCACGAGGCGAAGAAGGTTTGTGTGACTAATGGTTACTAGCATCGGACCGCCTTCCAGACAGCGTGGCCTGCGGGCAGTCGTGCACAAAGCCGTAATGTTATGACTAGCTCAACACCTGCAGTGTTCTCACTTCTCGCGCATGCTTTATTAAAACGGCGTCGACGTTCACCTTGTGAACGCATCAACTGGCTAAAACGGTCAGTTACCATTCGTTTCACCACTTGCGGTAAGCGCCGCGCGTCCTGCGTCTTTGGCCATTTGTCACAGACCACCATTGCTGCGTACAGCAAGTCCGATTGCTATGCTCCCTCCCCTCTGACCAGGTCCTCCTCTGCCTGTCGTCAGGTGTTTCCCGCTGCGCCGACAGAGCGCGGCTGTCCGGAGGCTGTCGGCCGCCGGCCGGGGGGACGGGTCGGTCCGGCGCACCCTCCAGCTCCAGGTCCGGCCGCCTGCGAGACGGACGCCTCGGGCGGGCCGCCTCCGAACCGGCCGGCAGCAGCGGCGCATCTGCCGTCAGCGACAGGTGACCGCTCTGAGGCGGCGACAGCCTCAGTGACGGATGACGATCGACGAGCCACAGCGACGGATGGCCGCTCTGAGACGGCTACAGCCGTCAGTGACGGGTGACGATCGACGAGCCGCAGTGACGGATGACCCCTCTGAGGCGGCTACAGCCGTCAGTGACGGGTGACGATCGACGAGCCGCAGTGACGGATGGCCCCTCCGAGGCGGCTACAGCCGTCAGTGACGGATGATGACCAACGAGCCGCAGTGATGGATGGCTGCTCTGAGGCAGCGATAGCCGTCAGTGACGGATGACGATCAACGAGCCTGTGACGGATGGCCGCTCTGAGCTGATAGTGACAACCTTTCATCAATGGTGCCGGCCCTGAACAGGCAACTGTGACGAAGGGCGGCCCTAAGTGACGGAGTACGGCTCAGGGCCGTCAACGAACGATGTCGCCTTTGGACTCAGGGTATATGACAAGCCAGCATCGCCTAAAGCCAATATTATTTCGTTGGAGCGGGGCATCACAATGCACGGGTCGTTCAGCGCATCTTCATTGGACTGTGGCGACACGTGGTGAAAATGACGGGACTATTTCGGTGGCCGTTGCACAACTTTGATCAAAGCCTAGATAAATCACTAAATGACTTCAATCCAGACGAGACTCGGCCAAGCCAACTGCTGACTTCCATCCGGGTTGTGCCGACAGGTGCTGACGTCACAGTTGAAGAGCTACCTGTCTAGAAGGCAGAGGTATTGTGCAAAGCCTGGCTCGAACCCTAGTCGTGTTGGCAGCCGTGTAACTCCGTATGGTGACAGGGACGCCCTGTGGTCGATATACAGGCGCCAGCCTTAGGCACAGAATCCCTACTCGGTACTGAAAATGCCATCTAGTCGAAACGTCAGGACAGACTGGCGTCCTGTTCGTCAGAACAGACCAGCGTCCTGTTCGTGTGCATTTGCTCACAACCCGAGGCCGCCCCCGAAGGTGGCAACCGACAGCGCGACACGCGAGCACTCGGGGCGTCTTGCCATCGATCGTTAGAAAAGCGTTCATGCCGGCTCCACGGCTCGGGGTGCTGGACACGCCGGAGTCGGGGGAGCGTCGCCAGGAGACCGAGGCGCCGGGCGCGCCGAAGTCAGCCACGGTCCGAGACCGGCGTCGGACGCGCCGGAGTCAGCCACGGTCCGGACCGGCGCAGGACGCGCCGGAGTCAGCCACGGTCCGAGACCGGCGCCGGACGCAGAACGTTCACGGCACCGCCGTGCCTTCGAGATGTGATATATTGCGCTTGTGTGATGAAAGCTTTGCACGTGCGTTTTCGTCGTCCGCCACTCTTTCATATCTATGATTGGAGGTAAGCGACAGACATCATCGCTCGACAGCCCCGATCATCTTCCACTGGGGCCGGAAAAGGTCTGTGTTAACCCGGCAGACTTTCTTCGTACTTACCGAGCGCAACCTGGCATCTTGTCAGCCCACCGTGAATTACAGCACAGCGAATTGCGCATCCTCCTGAACTACACTACACATTAACGATGCAGTCTTTACGCCAGGTTACATATACCCGTAGCTTTCAGGTTGGTTGCGCTTAGCGGACGAGCTCATGCCGGTCACATGATGCGCGATCCAGCGCTTAGTTTGTTCGTTAGCGCTCAGTGTGCGGTGAAGGCCTGTAATGGTGGCACTGACGCGCTGCCGGCCTATTGTCGGCCGGTAGCCTATTGTCAATCCACTTCACGTGCCGCGCACAGGAGTCCGAGCGGTGCTCACGCATGGTTGGAAAGCCTTTCTTGCCACATATCTATTACAGCTCTGACTTTAGGAACACATCTAGGTGTGTTGACTGTGTTCGATTTGTTGTGCTTGTCCATCTGTACCCTATAATTTCCATCATGGAGAGTTGTGCTTCTTGCTGGTTTCTTGCCATCGTGGAGTCGGGCATTCGTTTTCATGCTCAATGTTTTCAATAAACGAAAAAAAAACAACTTCGCGCGGTGTCTATAATGCAGGTGCCAACCTTCAGCAATCATAGCCACCAAGAAAAAAGAGCCAACGCGCCTCGCACACTCGTGACGAACTCGGGGCTCAGCTCACGACACGCATGCAGAAGCGTCCTGGAGAAATATTCGGTCATGGCCAAACCAACACACTCGTTTTGCATGACTATGGTATTGAACAGTATGGACACAGCACTAAAAACCAACGCAGGCACACATCTGACTAATACACTGCACCAATCTCGCGGGGACGTCATATCCAGACCGACCACAGTTATCGGCCACCAGATCGCCCCGCGCCCCTTCCCCTTCAGCAGGTCAGTGACGGCGCCAGCGGGCACCCAGCGGAGAGGAGCACAGTACCCACACTTAACGCTCGGGCAGGCGACCGACCTGTCAGCCGTCCCCCTGCGGCGGCGCTAGTGGACTGGCGCCGTCCTCCAGCGGCGGCGGCGGTGAGCTGATACCGTCCTCCAGCGGCGGTGCTGGTGGGCTGGCGCCGTCCTCCAGCGGCGGCGGCGGTGAGCTGATACCGTCCTCCAGCGGCGGTGCTGGTGGGCTGGCGCCGTCCTCCAGCGGCGGCGGCGGTGAGCTGATACCGTCCTCCAGCGGCGGTGCTGGTGGGCTCGCGCCGTCCTCCAGCGGCGGCGGTGGTGAGCTGGTACCATCTTTTCGGGACAACGATAAAGTACTGTCATCTATCGATGATGGGACGGTACTGCACTTTAGCACTGGTGGGACGGTGCTTTCCTCTGGTACCGGCCGGACAGTGCTGTCCTCTGGCGACAGCAGCGGCGAGACGGTGCCGCCCTCTGTCGGCGGCGGGCTGGAGCCGTCCGCCAGCGGCGGCGGCGGCGCGATGGGGCTGTCCGCCAGCGGCTGCAGCCGGAGCACCTCAGCCACGCCGCGGCCGGGGTCGAACCAGCACGTCACGTGACACTCATCCACGGCGAAGTGGTAGAGCAGCAGGTCGGCGCGTGCGCGGCGGTACACGGAGCGCGGCTCGGCGCGCAGCACCTGGCCGATGGCGGCGCGCAGCTCGCCGCTGTCGCGGAGCCAGCGCAGCCGGTGCCGGCCGGCGTCCGGCGCCGCCGAAAAGCGCTCCAGCTGCGCCGTCGCCGACGGCGTGAAGCCCACCGTCCACGACTCGGGCCGCAGCCGCTGCAGCCAGGTGCCGTCACCGGCGCCGCCGCTGGCTGGGCCGGCTGGTGAGCAGAGGCTGGCCGGGTCGACCCCGGCCGGCGGCGGGTCCACGCCAGGTGCGACGGTCACGGAAGAGCCGCCCAGAACACGGCCACAGACCGGCGCTGGGCTCTCCTCCGACACGGCTCGGCTCCCCGAGCGAGGCCGAGCGGCCCGCCCGCCCGCTCCGTCTCTCCCGGCCGGCCCCAGCCGATCGGATGTGCCGATACCGTCCTCCGAGGGTGTGAGCACGTCCTCGGGGGCTGGCTCCCTACCTCCCGTCGAGCGGCCGCGCTCGGCCCAGTCGACGGCTGCCAGCGGCTCGGGGCTGGACTGCGGCGGGGAGTCGTATTCACTGATGTACGGCTTGATGTCCAGCACCGGCGTGCCGTCCACGAGATCGTGGCCCGAGAAGTGCAGCGTGTCACCTGTAAGCCCACCAACAGCAAAACATCTCACCGGTGATCACGCTCATGTTGTGTACATGGCTTCATAAAACAATGAACGTCAGTGGACATACAGTCACCCAATACCAATTATTTAATAGCTAAGAGTTGCGTATTCTGCTAGCATATACTGAAGTGGCAGCTGACGCATTGGGCCTATTCAGATCTCATATTTTATCTACCAGTTACGTAATAAATGCTGCGGGTATCCGACTTTTCAAAAGGTAAAGGGTCATTTTATCGTCAGCGAAAATCCTGTACTCTACGAGCATGCTGCAAGTCTCTCCGCGACGCACCTTTTACAGTTCATATAGTGGTGGTCGATACTTATACACTAAAGCAGCCTGAACAGGCCCACAAATTACATCATAAGAATAAATAACATAACATTAAAAACCTGCCGCATGCATATCAGGTCTGTGTCCAGGTGCATAAAACAATGTGGCGCCTCATAACCACGATCGTTTCTAAAACACCCCACAGGTCATGCTAGTGCGGCGGTTTTGGCCCTGTTCCGCCTATCCATCAGCCCACGTGGCCGCCTGTGGGTGGTGACGGGACTGGGACGGATACCTCACGCCATTACTCCCTCTACATCTCATCCCACCCATCAGGCGAGCCCCTGAATGGCAGGCCAGTGTACGCGACCGGTCAGCCACGACTCTGCGACATGTTGCTGTCTGCGTGGCTCGCCGACATTTTCACCACGTTCTGGAAGGTTATTTCAAATATACCAAAGCGAGGATACTAGGTTCACGGGGATGTGAACGATCTTTTAAAGCTCAACCTTGGACACTTCGAAATGTTTATGATTTCGTTGCTGGCATATTTGTGGTCGCCAAGAAGTTTCCAAACATCACTTAGTATTAGGTATTAGTATTAGTATTAGTATAAGGACTAGGATAAGTGTTAGTGTTAGTCTTAATATTCGGATTAGGATTAGGATTAGGATTACAATAATGATTATTATTAGTATTAGTATTATCATTAGAATAGTAGCAGTATAGTATTACTACTAGTATAAGTATTAGTATTAGTATTGCTACTGCTATTGCTATAGCTACTGCTACTGCTGTGCTACTGCTATTGCTATTGTTATTGCTACTGCTATTCCTACTGTTATTGCTACTAAGCAGTAGAAGCAGCACCAGTATTAGTACTAGTAGAATGAGTATTAGTATAAGTGTTGGTGTTAGTATTAGTATTAGTATTAGTAGTAGCAAGAGCACGAGCAAGAGCAGTAGTAATAGTAGCAGTAATAGTAGCAACAGCAGTAGCATAGCAGTAGCATTATCAGTAGCAGTAGCAATAGCAGTAGCAATGGCAATAGCAATACTAATACTGTTACTAATACTAACATTAATAGTAATACTGTTACTAATACTAATACTATACTTATACTAATCTTAACCCTAATCCTAACCCTTATTTTTATCAGAATCCTAATCCTTATTCTAACCCTAATCCTAATCCGAATATTAACACCAACGCCGAAACTAATCATAATCCTAATCCTAACCCTAATACCAACACCAATCCGAATCCTGATTCTTATCATAATTATAATCATAATCGCAATCATTATCCTAATCCTAATCTTAATCTGAATACTAACACTTATCCTTATCCTAACACCAATACCAATACCAATGCCAATGTCAATACCAATAGTAATATTAATACTAATACTACGCAGTAGTAGTATTATTAGTAGTATTAGTACAAGTATACCAAGCAGCAGCAGCAGCAGTAGTAGTATACTACTGCTACTACTACTGCTGCCGCTGGTTAGTATTAGTGTTAGTATAAGTATTAACATTAGTATTAGTATTAGTATTAGTATTAGTATTAGGATTAGGATTAGTATTAGGATTAGCATAAGCATAAGTATTAGCGTTAGCATTAGTATTAGTATTGGTACTTGCATTGGTATTGGTATTGGTATTGGTATTAGCATTGGTATCAGGATTAGGATTATGCTTAGGATTAGGATTAAGACTAAGATTGGTGTTAGTGTTAGCATTCGGATTAGGATTAGAATAAGGATTAGTATTAGTATTGGAATCGGTACTTGTAGGTATAGATAATAGTAGCGGTAATAGTAGCAGTAGCAGTAGCAGTAGCAATAGTAAAAGCAGTAGCAATAGCAATAGCAATAGCAATAGCACCCGTAAGCTTAATACTTCTTAGGTATTAAGAAGTATTAAGTAAGCTGCTGCTGCTGCCACTAAGCAGCAGCAGCAGCTTACTACAGGTGTACTATAGTAGTTTAGTAGGAACTATAGCATAGTAGTAGAGTAGTATAGCTATAGTATCGTAGTAGTTACAGCAGCTTACTATACTATAGTAGTAGTATACTAGTATTAGTATTAGCATTAGCATTAGCATTCGTATTGGTATTAGTATTGGTATTAGGATTAGGATTAGGACTAGGATTAATGTTAGTGTTATTATACGGATTAGGATTAGGATTAGAATAAGGGTTAGTTTAAGTACTAGTATTAAAATAGTAATAGGATGGTACTAGTATTAGTATTAGTATTGTTACTGCTATTGCTACTACCAATACTCCTATTATTGCTACTAAGCAGCAGCAGTATTAGTAGTAGTATTAGTATAAGTATTAGCATTCGTATTAGCATTAGTATTAGTGTTAGCATTAGTATTAGTATTAGAATTAATAGTAGCAAGAGCACGAGCAAGAGCAGTAGTAATAGTAGGAGTATTGTATTTTGAACTTAATCCTAACCTGAATAGCAACACCAATCTTAATCATAATCCTAATCCTAGTCCTAATCCTTATCCTAATCCTAGTCCTAATCCTTATCCTAATCCTAGTCCTAATCCTTATCCTAATACCAATAGCAATATGACTACCAATACCAATACTAATACTAATGCTAATACCACTACTACCAATACTACTACTACTACCAATACTAATACTAATCCTTATTCGAATCCAAATCCTAATCCTAACACTAATACCAACACTAACACCACCACAATTCCGATTCTACTCCTAATCCTAATACTTATCCTAATCCTAATCCTTATTATAATCCTAATGCCAGACCAGTGTAATGGCAGGCCAGTGTACGCGACCGGTCAGCCACGACTCTGCGACACGTTGCTGTCCGCGTGGCTCGCCGACATTTTCACCACGTTCTGGAAGGTTATTTCAAATATACCAGAGCGAGGATACTAGGTTCACGAGGATGTGAACGATCTTTTAAAGCTCAATCTTGGACACTTAGAAATGTTTAGGATTTCGCTGCTGGCATATTTGTGGTTGCCAAGAAGTTTCCAAACATGACTTTTGCACCACGGGAAGATCTTTTAATGCCAAA